ACAGGCGTGCGCGCACACAGAGACACTCGAACACACACACACACACACACACACACACACACACATACACACATACGTTGAAAAAGGAAGTAAAACGGAAAATTGAGTCGCCGCTATCATGGATCGATATTTTTTTCAAGGAAATGGATTACAACTTTGTCTACTTTTTCATGCTCGTATATAAATCCTGTCCTGAATTATATATTTGAGAAAAAAAGATATCCGAGGATGTTATAATTTTGTTTTTGAGATCACATGAACAGTTGAAATGTGTGCCCCACGGCCTTGATTTTTTTAAACGCCTGTTTCTCAGTTTGATTCGTAACCAACTAATCCAAATAAAATACTACATCTTCCCAAAATGTTTGGTTATAAAAAGGCCACCCACGAAAGTATTTATAACAAATTCTCGGAAAGTTTGTCAAGATGAGAAAGATGTACAGCAATGTTCAGTGAAACTATCCAGCTTAACACAAGAGACACGACTGAATTTTCGAACAAATAAACTGTACAAATTTAGATACCTGCACCTGATCTATGCATTCTCCCCGCTTTTTTTTATATACAGAGGCAGTCACGGCCGGGAAAACATAGTATTTTTACTATGACAGCTAAATTATGTTCTTAATACATTTGCAGCACCCACAGGTGAAATAGGTCTCTTCATCTCTCTTCCCTTTTTCTGCATTGACTCTTATTTTATGCATTCCATGTTTTCGTGTTATTTAGTCCAAGTGAGCTCTGTACTCTTAGGGAACGTTAAAAAACACAAAAGGTATACATTTTGATGTTCAAAAAGGCATCAAAAAGTGTTGATAAGTCACAGAATTATTTTCGAGGCAAATGTTTTATAAAGTACCAAAGCCCAGAGAATCAAAAACATGCTATTTTCGTTAAACCTTAAAGCATCAGCGGAAAGCCGATCTCTGATGCTAAAACCAGAGAGAGAACGCCTAGGACATAATGTCTGGCAGGCTATTGGAAGACGCCACTAATAACTTCCACTTCTATTTTGGTCTTTTCGTATTGTTTTTCCTCGCAAGTTTGAGTTCATCAATTTAATTCTGCAGCTTTTGTAACCTCATACAAATTTAGCAATAGCTATCACTATCTACTGGCGATAAAAGATC